AAGAGAAGGCTCAGGGGCTCCCTACAACTGATGGCTCCCTCCAAGTGCCTGAGAGGAGGATGGAGCCAGGAGGGGCTGGGCTCTGCTCCCAAGGAACAAGGGATGGGACAAGAGGAAACGGCCTCAAGCTGCCCCAGGGCAGGTTTAGATGGAGCTGAGGAACAATTCCTTCCCCAGAGGGTGCTCAGGCATTGGAACAGGCTACCCAGGACAGGGCTGCAGTCACCCTCCCGCAAGTGTTCCCACAGCGTGGAGACGAGGCCTTGGTGCCATGGGTTAGGGGTGTCCCTGGCAGTGCTGGGACTTAGTGAGCTTAAAGGTCTTTCCATTGTTGATTCTATGATTCTATAAGTGAGCTGCGTAAGAGAGCAAATCTGCAGCAGAGGATGTGAATTTGTAGAACATCTGACAGGATTTTAAGCCTCCTGATGGTTGGGATGTTTCTGTGCAGTATCACTTGTAGTGTGTGCTCACAGTTGGTTTGCAAGTGTACAATGCCAAGCAGCACTTGAGTGTGAGCAGTAGTTGGCAGAAAGCCAACCGTATCCTGGGCTGCATCAAGAGGAGTGTGACCAGCAGGTTGAAGGAGGTGATCCTGCCCCTCTGCTCTGCTCTTGTGAGACCTCACCTGGAGCTTCCAGTATCTGAAGGGGGCCTATAGGGATCCTGGGAAGGGACTGTTCATTAGGGACTGTAGTGATAGACGAGGGGTAACGGGTTAAAACTGAAACAGGGGAAGTTTAGATTGGATATAAGGAAAAATTCTTTCCTGTGAGGGTGGTGAGGCACTGGAATGGGTTGCCCAGGGAGGTTGTGAATGCTCCATCCCTGTTGGTGTTCAAGGCCAGGTTGGACAAGGCCTTGGGTGACATGGTTTAGTGTGAGGTGTCCCTGCCCATGGCAGGGGGTTGGAGCTAGATGATCTTAAGGTCCTTTCCAACCCTAAGTATTCTATGATTCTATGATCTTGTGTCTCTCCCAGCACTTCTTTCCCATTCTTTATGTTGACACCTGTTCTCCCCACTACCTGTCCACGCTTCCCCATCCATCTTCTATCTCTGCATGTTGTATTTGTAAAGGGCAGCTTGCCAATAGTGTGGATTAATTTCACATTACACAGAAGGCAGGAGGGAATGTGGAAGGATCCCACTTCCCTGCTCTGTACCTGCTTGCTGCAGTTCTGCTTCTCTGACAGATGTTGCTACATCCGTGAAGTATCTTGTGGTTTAAATGAGCATAATCTTGCTTTTAAATGAAAATAGACCTTTGGCAGAAGTTGGCAGCACTGGAAAAATGCTTTTGCTTGCCCTGAGTGGTTTGTTCTTTCCCAGGGGGTGTGTGTTTATGACAGAGGCTGAAAAAGAGAGAACTAGGATGTGTGGGCCCTGGCAGCAGGCCACGGTCTTCAGGCCATGCACTCTGTCGTCTCTTCCTTCTTCCCTCGCCATGCAGAATGTATAGGCTTAGCTATGTAAAATAATAGATTGACTTCCAAACTGTGTTAAATGAGCTCATCTCAGTCACTCAGCGCTCGGGAAATGCTGCCAAGTCTTGTAAATGTATCGATGGTTTTTATTCCTTTGATGAGGGTGGAATACTACACAGCTCCCGAGGCAGAGAGAAAGCATCTTCCTTCACCCGTAACACACTGAAGCATGGAGGAAGATGCTGAAAGCCAAGAATTCCAGTATGACCCTCCTGCTTAGTGCTTCTGAGTGCCTGGATTTCTCCTCATTCCTGGTATTCCCAGCTGAGAGCTGTGGCAAGGTCAGTAACCAGTTCTAGCGCAGCACGGCTCCTTCTCCCTCACCACCAGCTTGGTAGCAGGAGCAAGGGAGACTTCTGCCGCTTCCCTTCTAACGAGGTACAAAGTCAGATCAAATGTTAGAGCTTCTTGTTTCTACATGGCAAAAGAAACGGGATGTAACCCCCTGGATGTGTTCCAAGCAGGGGTATCATTAAATTTGACTCTTGCTTCCAGCTGAGCTGCCACCACCACGGAGAGAACCAAAATACAGACATGTTGCAAAGAGAGAAGGCAGGAGGATGTGTTGGGTAGTTCAGCCTGACATTGAGGGGGTTGCAGGTTGTTACGTGGAACTGTTACTCCCTGTTTGGAGCTCAGTAGCTGGTGTTTGACTGGGAAATTCACAGGCATTTTTCTGAAATTCTTTTTTTTTTTCTTCTTCTGAGAAATGTTCTGAAGTTACTGAGAAATGAAGATTTCGACATCTCTGATTTGTTCTGTGGCTTAAACAAGGCAGTGTTTTCTTCTTTCTCATGGTGTTTTAGTGCATTTCTAACTGGAATATGTCGAGTTTTCCCTAGTTGCATAGGAATTTTAAGCTGGCATAAACTGGCAGAGCTGCTGAGAGAAGCAGTCGCTGGTTCCTGCTCTGGTGCCAGCTGGCGTAGCTGGAGCGTTTCCCCTGCTCCTGGCCTGATCTCTCTACAGCTGTACAATGAACCCACTGCAGAACCAGCAGCATGAGGTTTGTCCAGGACCAACATCTGGCTCATAGCACAGCTGCGTGAGCAATACTGGTACAAACAAGGAGGTGGAACAGGGATGGGCATCAGGAATAGAAACGGGTTGAAGGTGGATGTCCCAGCAGCAGATGGTGACACCACGGAGCTGCTTTCAGCTGCTGGTTCTTGGCCATTTTCTGCTGGGAATGCTCATGTTGGGATGGTGGCTCGTGATGCTCTGAAGCCAGCAGCGTGTCTCTGCATCTGTGGGTTGGTGCTTGTGGTGTTAACAGCAGGACTTCACAACCTGGTGTACATCAGAAGCTTGGAGTAAAAATGCTGTTACTTGATGTAGCAAAAGCTGAGCAGAAGCAAGAATTGTCCAAGTACTAACATTTATTATGTCGATTTTGAGTATCTGTGTTGTAGTAATTGACAGCTAATGCTCAGGGAGAAAAGGCTTTGGACTAGTTTACTCCAGGGCTTATATGGAGCAAGTCTGTCTCAGTGTTGGCAGGTTGAAAGTGGAAACTCAAAGTGAGTGAGAGCTGTGGTTATAATCATTCTTCTCAAAAAAAAACCAAGCCCAGTCTTAAAGATACAAATTGATATTTGGTAGGTAATGGGTATCATAAGACCTAGCTGTTGGCCAGCACCTAATACTGCACGAGATGAGCTTCATGCTGAATAAAATGGGTTTTTCTTTCTCTCTACTGACTGTTTCCCTTACGAGTTTGGTAGGAAAGCTCTGTGCCAGCTCTCATGTTCTGGGTACTCCCTCATGCTTTATGGTAAGAGGAGAGCATCATCAGTCTTTACAGAACGGAGATGCACATTGTGCCAGTCGTCTGTGCTTCCTGTGTGGCTTTCTGAGGTACAGAAGGAAAGAGATGGAGCTCTGAAGAGCCACATCCCAGGACAAGTCAAGCCCAGGAATACAGGATTGTCCAGTCTGGGCAAGGGAATGGCTCCAGTCCTGCAGTGTTACCACAGAACACTGACATTTGTCCTATGCATGCATATGTAGCTATGAACTAGAAAGCCAGAATACGCACCAGTCTTCTGGAGCATCACATACTGATGATGTTCTCTAGATAAGGGAAAGAAAATCTCTTCCAGATACTGCTGAAAGCGTTGACTGACTTATTTTTTTAAGTGCTGTCAAAATACCTCTTTCTGTTTGCATTTCGGTTTAGCAGTGGCTTACTATAGTGAAAGTTGTTACATAAAATCGTGCTATATTTGCTTCCCAAAAGATTCCAGTGTTGTTCAGGCAGCAGTGCTGAATGGATGGAGCATGGAGTCGCTATCTCTTAGCATGCTGATTCCATGTCTCTTCTGGCAGCACAGTGCAAAACCTACATTTTCTTGAGGCTAAATTCCCTCCTCTTCAGAGATGGGTTTGATTTTGGATAATCTGATCGTGTGTTATTTGATCAGGAGCTCATCTTCATAGGTTCTACTTGGTATAGAGCTCATTTGGGATCCCACACTCCCGTGTGGGAACTGATGAATGCAGTTATAAAGGCCTATTCTGCTTAAGGACTCTGGTTTTTATCCTTCCCTTTTTTGCTTAGGAAGTCCTAACAGGCCAGTGCATCAGAGGTGTTGCCACCACTTGGGTGGAGAGTGAGGAAGCCACTTGAATCATAGAATCAACTAAGCTGGAAAAGATCTTTAAGAACAAGTCCCATTGGTATGTGACCAGTGCACACTCAACTCATAAACCACTTTAATGTGACCATCTGATTTTGGGCTATCTTAGATGAAGGCCCTCAGAGTTGTCCTAAGGATGTTCTACTGCTGTACCTCTTATTCACTTGTCTCCATCTCTGCCTGACTGAGCTGCCCAGCTTTGTTACCCATCTTCTTGTTTCCCTTCATCCAGTTGCTGATTGACTCGTGTTCTTGAGTAGTCACATCCCAGACAAAGTGTTTTATGTGCTGATCATTCGTTCCACAGCTGCTTAGTTGAACCTGTGAAAAACTTGGGTGCAGGTTTTTTGGCCACCTGTGACTTTCAGAGGGGAAATTCCCATGTTTCACATTGAAAACTCAAGGGGGTTTATTGAAGCTAGAACAGGGTGCCTGCAGGTTGTGGTGACCTTCACTGGGGGTGGAATAGTTCAGCTGCAGTCTCATTGAGGTGGTTGTACTTCACAGTAACTTAAAATGCCTTTTGTTTACCAAACCTTTGCAAGTAAACCTTAAAACCCCACTGCAATGAAGAGCAGATAACTTTCTTTATAGCATAGGGGCTGTTCCTTCTGTGTGGAAAGATGGGATTCGTGCCAGCCATAAGTTTCCAGAAGATTGCTGCTATTTTCCCCTTATTATATTTCAAAGAATAAAGTATCCACAACTATTGATAGGGTTTCTCAAAAAACCAAGTCTTTAGGTTTGACACATTTTGCCCAAATCCTGCTAAAATCCCATTTAACTTCTTTCCAAATGGAAAATAAAGGCTATAAGAAGGGAACATCAGTAAACAGTGCTGAGACTTTCTTGTTCCCCCCTGTTTTCCCCCTTAGATGATGAATTGCTTTTGGAACCTACTCAGCTGTCCTTGGAGTCAGTGGGAGGCTTTAACTTCATTTTCCCAGGAGGGCAGTGAGGCTCACTCTCACTGCAGTGCCTCTCTGCTGGTGTGTATATGATCTTCAGCATATGTATTGTAAAATACATTCAAAGCCTTACATTAAAGGGAAGTCTTTGGACTTGGTAAAAGCTGCCTCTGTGCTTCCTTCAGATGCTGAAAGTACAATGAGCAAGAAAACATCAGCATTCCAGTTCACTAAGAAATGTGGTTGTGGCTGTGGCAGTTTTGTGCATAGCTGAGTTTGAAGACTCTAAGAGAAAAGCAGTGGTAACTAAAGAAACCACAGTTTTAAAGCGATGAATTGCGAAGTTTTCCAAACCTGGTAATTCCTGTGATAGCCTATGATTCCTGTTTCTATGACTCTAGTCTATGATTTGGCTGTGAGTGAAATAAAGAACAGAACTAAGAACTTTGCACTGAATGTACCTTAGTGACATAAACTGAACAGGAAGAGGAGTTGCCCAGAGAAGCTGTGGCTGCCCCATCCCTGGCAGTGTTCAAGGCCAGGTTGGACACAGGGGCTTGGAGCAAGCTGCTCTAGTGGAAGGTGTCCCTGCCTGTGGCAGGGGTTGGAGCTGGAGGAGCTTTAAGGTCCCTTCCAACCTGAACCATTCCATGAGTCTGTGAATTTCTACAGAGGAAAGGTGGAATTAAGAACTTGGATCTTAGTAATTAAGGTTTTGAGAGCTGACTGACCTTCATTGGTCCCTTTTGAAAACCCCAGTGTAAGGTGCATCATGAATGGTGTATGAATTACTTGCATCTTTGCTGACTGCAGTGGGAGGAAGGTTCACTGTTGTCCTGGTTGCTGTATTCTCCATCAGGTGCAAGTCTCTGGTAGGGAGGGGGGTGTTTTTTTCTGAGGGTGTCTGAGTGTGTTTTTAGGGGGGAGGTTTCAGGAGATGGGGTAGAGACTGGTCAGAAGGAAGCCTGCATCAGGGGTAGAGACTGAGGAGAATTCAAACACACAGGGATGTATAGGGATTGTGCAAAATTAGGCTGTCACTGCACTGAGAACAAGCCTGGAGAAAGATGCAGCTGCAGTGGACTAGGGGAGTTCCTGAAGTTTTATTCCTCTTGCTTTTAGTTTCACTGTTCAGGAATTCCACATTTTATGTACTTCTCTAGTAACACCGAGCTCTGGTATTTACAGTGCTTTTAGCATTTTGATGATGCTGGTTGTGTGGATGAGTGCAGCAGCTCCTCCGCACACTTGGTGAGTCAGGGTTTGTAACAGCAGTGTTAGAGACCAGATGTGAATGTGAAGGCAGCCCTGGCACTGGGGCTGAGGCTGGAGGTGAGCAAAGATGTGTCCTCTGAAGACCCAGACAGAAGATGTTGTTTAGTTACATGGTGAAGAGGCAGCAGCACAGAAACGTCCCCTCAGCTCCAGAAGAGAGTTGCAGGGAGTGTGACATCTATTCCTTCAATGGACTGGCCACAAGCTCAGCCAGTGGAGCTCCTTGTAGGTCCATGTGTCTTCATAGCACCTGAGAGGGATGAGTGTTAACAGAACCTAAGAGAAATGAAAGTCAGGCACTGGATTAATGTCGTGGCTCTCATGTATAACCTTTGTCTGTAGGGAGCAGCAAGATGGTCCAGGAGCACAGGAGCCAAGTCAGATCACTAGATAGGCAGAGACTGAACTGGCATTAAGAAGCTTGAGCAGGAGTATGGCAAAGATAACTCACTGCACAGGTAGAGCTACTCACAGAAAGAGAGTATGTGTTAAAATGAATATGTTTAAGATAAATACATCTTACAGAGGTTTCCAAAATATATCAAATGCTGGCAAGGCCTCTCTTAGAGCCTTTGAAGTCCTTGCTATGGGATGATGAGGATAGGGAAGCTCCATCATCTGCTGCAGGTAAAAACTCCAGAAGTCATTTTATTGAGAGATGGCTTTAGAAGGATTTAAATCAAGGGAGAGGAAGCCTTGTAACACAACCTTTGGAATAATGTCAGGATGAGACTGCTCTGAGGATAAAGCAAGTGAGAATGGGAGTTATTAATGCCTGTTGAGAACTAAATGCCTTATTTTTGGAAGCATCTCGGTGGGTTATAAGGACTAACAGTGGGGAGTTGGTCATGTACCAGGTGTGGTCTGGAACAGTGGTACATTAACACTCTGGGTTGGCCGTGTAGATGAGGTTCTGTCTGCCCTATGAGAAGCAACAATGAGATGATGAGTACAGAGTGAGATGTGCTTGGCAGCAGGGTCAAGGTACTTGAGGCAGGAAAGAAAAACCTGCATTTCCCCAAAAGCAACATAATATTTGTGCTAAAAGGGGCATTTTGAGGCTTTGAAGACTCAGAGGCACTCGAGAACTGGGGATGAAGAGGGGTTTTGTTTGCATTAACATGACATGCAAGGGATTGTGAAGAGGAACAGAAAATGTTCTTGGTGTTCCACAGCATAATTGGCATGACACCTCTGCAGGGAGATTCCCTACAAGACACAAACCAAACCAGACCTGGTGTTTGCAAGGGATGTAGGCTGCCCCTCCTGGAGGGTGGAGGTACGTGGGAAGCGTACCCTGGGCTGGTGGGATAAGGCAGTTGAGAAAACTCGGGTTCATCCTAAATTGCATCCAGGGAGGATTAATCAGGTCTCGCTTCTGGAACTACTGGGGAATGAGGGAAAGGAAATGCCTGTTCTTGTCTGTTCACGTGTCAGAAACCTTGCTCATAAAGGGGCAAGTTAAGTGACTGAAAAGGGGGAAGCAAAGAGAAATTAAGAGGCCACGAGGAAGGAGCCAGCCTGTGTAGGACTACTTAAACCTGCTTTGTCCTTAGTGGGACTGAATCATAGACTCACAGACTGGTTTGTGTTGGAAGGGACCTTAAAGATCACCCAGCTTCAACCCCTGCCGCGGGCAGGGACACCTTCCACTAGAGCAGCTTGCTCCAAGCCCCTGTGTCCAACCTGGCCTTGAACACTGCCAGGGATGGGGCAGCCGCAGCTTCTCTGGGCACCCTGGGCCAGCGCCTCAGCACCCTCACAGGGAAGAGCTTCTGCCTTATATCCAACGTGGACTTCCCCTGTTTCAGTTTGAACCCATCACACCTTGTCCTATCATTACAGTCCCTGATGTAGAGGAGAGGGAAGGAAAACTGCTTCCTATTTTAACTCTCACTCAAGCAGGTGATTCAAGAAGGAAGGAAAGAGGGATGGTGGCGATGCAGTTTGCTTATTGAGTAAGTTCAGAGATGGGTTTTCAGTGGTCCTGAGGTTTGCTTTAACTTTGTCAGTGTCTACAGGAGCAGAGTGCTAGGAGGGAGGACTATGGAACAGGCAGGAATAGACACATGAGCAGTTACTTACCCTTGGGACCAAATCAGGCTGTGCTGGTTTGCACAAACCAGAAGTGTACTGAGTTGCCAGACTGAGAGCAAGGCGGAATGGGAGAGCCTACCCTAGGATGCTGGGGAGGGACTCTTCATTAGGGACTGTAGTGATAGGACAAGGGGTAATGGGTTAAAACTTAAACAGGGGAAGTTTAGATTGGATATAAGGAAAAATTCTTTCCTGTGAGGGTCCTGAGGCACTGGAATGGGTTGCCCAAGGAAGTTGTGAATGCTCCATCCCTGGCTGTGTTCAAGGCCAGGTTGGACAGAGCCTTGGGTGAGATGGTTTAGTGGGAGGTGTCCCTGCCCGTGGCAGGGGGTTGGAACTGGATGATCTTAAGGTCCTTTCCAACCCAAACCATTCTGTGATTCTGTGTGTAAGTGAGGGCTTGAGAAATCACTGTCAGCTTGGGATGTATTCACAGATCCTCCTTATCCTACAGCTGTGGGTGCTGGAGGGACCATCTGCATGACTGAGAGCCTTAGCGAATATCCTTCTCCTAAGGCTTACTGTTAATGTGGTTCTTGTGTTCACAGTGTGAATGTGAGGAGACAACTGATGTTTGAAAGACTGAATTGAATAACTCTGACCAATGACAAGAAATGTAATTAGGTTTTGGGCTGGTGTTGTGGTCGGGGTTCTGTTTGGTTCTGTGTGGTTTTGAATGCCAAATATTCAGCTTTTGAAATAATGAGAAATCAGAGAGGGGGGGAAAGGAAAATTCTTCTATACTTTATACAAGCTGCATGAATGCAGAATTAATCAGCTGCTTTGCCAGGCTTTTAATTGTGCTTTAAGCAAACACAACTTGCCTGGTTTTGAAGGCTAAATGAAGTTGGAAGCAATTTGCTGTATGATACAAAATACAGTGATTCAGCATTCATGATGAGAGCTATTAATAGGGAGTCTATTTTTATTCAAAGAAAAACAATAGCACTGAATTTCAGGCAGTTGCTTGACCAGACACTCAGGAAGGTCTCTGTGCAAGCTGAGGAGAAGCTCATATTGCTTGATCTTAAGAGCTGAGCTACGGAGCATCTTCGGCACCAGTGTTTCAGCGCTGTCCTCCCGAAGGTGATGCTCGGTGCTGGGAAGCTCTATCAGCAGTGTTCCTCTGAAGCAGTGGTTTGTATCCACTGGTATAAGGGGCTGTCAGCATTCCTGACATGTTATTTTGGGGAGAATTGAGCAGTATGATGAACCTCTGGTTAATTTTAACCATCTCTTTCAGGTTTTCATGGCCGTTCTGCCACCCCGCTGCCGCAGCCAGCGCGAATCCGAGTGCCGCGGCTACAAAGGCTTGTTGCTTCCTCGTGCTGGATACCTCAAATCCAAGAGCTACTCGGCAGTTTCCAAGGCAACCACCTGTGGAATAATTAAACAGGATGGAGTGTTCCTGTGCCAGATATAAGGGATTCTTGCCTGGAGAGAGCACTTCATCTGTCTTGAAGAATCAAATGTGCTTCTGCCAGCAAAGTTAAGGTAGTACAATTAAAAAGTGCTGATTTCTTTTCTGGAGATGCTGCAAGTTGGAGTAGGAGCAACAACATTAATGTGACTGTATACTGTTCCTTTAAGAAAATTACTATGGATCCTTCTCTCTTCCTTTTTTTGGGGATATTTAAAGAGAAAATCAAGGCTAAAGGTGCTGATGGAAGGGTAACGTGGGTGAAGAGTATTTTGCATCAGTGAAACAGTTGCACGAACTGTTTTGCACTGGATGGCATCTTTCCTCATGGATGATTTTAAGCTGGTAAGGACTAAAATGGAGCATACATTAGTGGGAGCATAAAAATAGGAAGTGCAGCCTTCATGCCAAGTACACTGAGATTTCTTTTGGCATTCAGTGAAGTGATGGATCTAAAAGGAATGTAGGAGTGGGCTCACTGCAAAATGACAGTCAGAATCAGGGATCGATCTTTATCCCATAGCTTAAAGGGTACGCAGAGATTAAGTTGGTGTTGAAACTGCATTGATAATCAGGTTTAGCTTGTTAGGAGAAGCAGCAGTTTGAAGACCACATGCCCACATTCAGAACTGAAATTGCACAGAGAAACCCAAAAGGTAAGCAGAGGAAGTCTGTTAGAATAACGACAGCAAAAAGCGCAAGTCTGCTTCTGAAAGCTTGAAACATGGCTCCAGAAGTTGATAGCAGTGTGAGGCTTTAGCTAACTGGAAGGGTTCTCCTCAAAGTATGTTCCTGGATGTATCTGCTTATTAGATCTTCCTTCTCTGCCAGTCATTCAAATGTATTTGAATGGAGAAAATCTTCATTTCTGACAGTGAAGTTAAATGGAGCAAGCCACATTTGCATTTTTCCCATAGCCCAAATAGCTGTTCAGTTAAGTTTGGATACCTTGCTTGATGCTTTTGTGTCATTCATTTCAGGCGTGATGCTTTTGTGCAGTTTATTTTGAGCAAAAAAAAAAAGTTCTAAATTTTGAAGAAGAAATATTTGGGATGCCATCTGGGCTTTACATAATAAATTGAAACTGCCAAAATGTTTGTGGGATTCTGTTGGGATGTGGATGGGATTTCACATTCCATCCCTTCCACAGCACAAGAGGATCATTGTGTTTTAGATACGGTGGGTCCAAGAAGAAGTAGAAGCTGTGTGTGGCAGCTTTGTGATTGGAGGGGATACAAATTGAACCTCTCCACTGTCACCTTTACAGCTGTTAGAGAATCTAAGAAGCTACACTCGTAGGTACCAGCCGAGTTACAAGTGCGGTTTGCAACCTTAATATTTCATTTCCAGTTCACTGGTTCATTGTCACCACGGCTGAACTGCCAAATTGATTTTCTTTTTGAAGTAATTCTTCAGGCTGTTAAGTTCCTTTCAGTATGGAGCTGAGGAGGATGTGTTTGTCTCCCAAAACCTGGTTTCAGATGTGAAAGGAGTTTGCTGGTGAAGTGTCTGCACCAAGCACAGCGAGGATGAAACAAACTGAGATGTGCTGCGTGTAGAGTGGGGGTAGCTGGTGTGTGTGGATCCACACATTTTGCTTTCCAAGAAGCCTGAGTAACTCAGAGATGGAAGTGGGTAGTTGTGAAAGAGCATATCTGTGTGTTTGTGTAAGACTGTAATAGCCAGGTAGCAATCGTAGCATAGTTAGGGTTGGAAAGGACCTTAAGATCATCCAATTCCATGGGCAGTAGTGCAGGATTCCCAAGAGCATACACAGAGGAGAAGTTTCCTCCTGGACCCCCCTGTAAGTCCATGCAGCTGCCTCTGTGATGTCTTAACCTCAAATACTGTAGGGTTAGAATCTAATCATGAAACTTCAGTTTCCAGGTAGTGCTGAAGCAGATGGTGACCAGCCCCCTGAAGCTGCCTGTTCCAGACCCTCTTGAAGGGATGACTTACCTCTAAAAGGTCCCTCTGGAGAGGAACATGTCTCTCCCCATTGCTGGTCCAGCCTGGACCACTCATACATCATCAGTATCTAACACTTCACAAACTTGCAGTGTGTAACTAGAGTACTCATACGAGTACTCATCTCTGCTTTTTTCCCCACACTGCATTCCCAATCCAGAGCTTCCCATGCTGAGTGGAGTTGCACTTGATTACTGGTACAACCCACATGCGCCTCCTCCTCATCCCAACTCAGACATTTTACCCTGGCAGCTTTTCCAGACTTCCTATGCAAGCCTGTGGTTCCCTATCAAGGATGCTGGAGAGCCGCATGGAGCTTGTTCACATAGTTCCTAATAGAGATAAAAACATCAGGGCTAAATTTAGGCAGCTGGTCTGTGTGAAAGAAAATACAGTGGCAAAGCAGGCTTGATGTCCGATGTTGTGTATAGGTTATCCTGTAATAATCCCTGAGAAGTGCTACAGGACTGAAGGGGAGTGGAAACTGAGGAGCAGTGGTTTGTTCAGTAAGTGACTGAGCGCATAGGAGGAGTTTTTGTGGCTTTGGCTATTAAGAGTTAGTGCTGTTTGCACCCATAAAAAGTAATATTTTCTTTGTACTCTGCTTTCTGTAACAGAAGATTGACGTTATGCTCCATGTTTGAAGAGCTTGATGTCCTTTAGAAAGGAAAAAAGTGGGAATAGTGATAGGGTGATTCTCCTCCAGTTTAATTGAATATAGAGATTCCATTTTTCTTCTGTTTCTACACTGTCAGAACAACTGTGTTGAAAAAGTCAGTTACAGTGTGGTAGTTTGAAAGTGCCATTCGAATACCTATTGCTAAGTAGGTAGGACTGTTTCCTAGGATCGGTAACACTTCCTTCTTGTTGTTTGGAAATCCAGGTGATTTTTCAGGGTGGGATTTTTCAAAGGGAGTTTTCCTTTTGGCAAGGGGAGCCTAGGGTAAAAACAGAAAAAGCAGGGAAAGAGGGACAGACAGCAAGTCACCTTCCTGTTAGTGGAGGAGGGAACTGATAATGATCAGACCCTTTTGATAACCTGACCCTTGTATGTGTGGAGGTTTTGGGGCAGACACATCAAGCATCCCATTAACAGGTTGTAGAAGAGATTTTCACTTTCCCAGAGGACTAGAATGATGCTGGGCATATTGGTCACTGAGACACCATGTAAAGTTAATGTATCTTAAGGCTTTTAGAGCCATCTCTGGCTCATTGGAGAGCAGAAGAGAGCTAAAATCACTTGCCCCAAAGTGATAATGAACATGTTCCAGATGCATCAACACAAGACACTAGTTTTGCCTATCAGTAGCACTGTAAACCCATGGAATTTGAGTAAACCACACTGTACTCCGGTGTATTGTTTGTGTCCATCCAAGTGCCTAGTCACTGCTCAGAGCAATGAGTGACAGCAATTGCAACACCCTTTCAAAATGAGAGAACAGTTTTACCATACTCAGGTGGGTGAGTGGTTTATGGGCATCAAATCAGCATTGCTATTTCAGTGGCTTTGAAGATAGAACTACCTACTAAATGATGGACCTGACGCTTAGTTATGAGAGAGGTGCTGGGGAGAAAGGTATTAGTGCTGTGCATTTTGGATGTGCTTTCTCAGTGTAGTTCAGGAAGTCCTGAATAGAATGGAAAGGTCAGTCTGCTTTATCATCATTCTGGACCAGTTTAGCCTTGGGAATCAATGAAGTAACTAATAAAACACTACTTCTAGAAGTAGAATTGCTTGTATTAATCTATTCACATCTCCCCCTTTGTGATTTGAACTCCTTCTGTTAGGTTGTATGTCTTTTTCCTCTTCCTGCTATTAAAAAATAAAAGTAAGACTTGAGAATGACAGCATCATATCTGGTAGAGAGATGGAATGTGGCTTTAAACTGCTATCCACAGTGAACATTTGGGTATTTGTAACGGGCAAGAAGAGGTGCTAATGCTTAGTTCTTGGGGATATTACACCCATGTTAGACAATATGATTGTAGGAGTAGAAGAGCAGTGGTTCTATACTCATCTAGAGCAGTGGATGAGCAATGGCCAGCAATGGCCAAAGGGGGGCAACTGAGGAGCACAGGAATGGAATGAGAATGCAGGATCCTCCTTCTTAATGCTGTTCAGTCTCCAGATGTGTAGTGCCTGGATTTACTGAGCTGGACGTCTTCCTTTATGATAGGTACTGGCCTTGTCTTGAGACCTTGTGAAATCTCCCTTTCAAGCCATGAGGAGTGTTGGGAAGTGTAATGTCTGTGGTTCCACAGCTTAACTGACATAGCTGCCTGTTGAGTGAGGAACCGGATTCTTCTGTTAGTTTTGAACCTGAGGTCCATTTAAAACACACTTCTTGTACTGGGAGAGATGTAATTCATCCCTGTCTATTATCTCTACTTGTTAAGAGTCAGTTCAGATCCTGTTGACCTATAGGTGAAGTCAGGACCACTTTTCCCGTCTCCAGATACCCTTCTTCACACTTAACTTTGAGGTGCTTTGTGAATTTCACTGCTGTATTGGATTGTCCAGTCAGTGATCCGTGCCCAGTTCCTTTCTCAGTTTGTCCTACTCATCTGCCGTCTTTGTTACTGTGGATAACCTCATATCATCAACAGATGTCGTCATGTCACTGCTGAGCCCTTTCCATGTCATTTCTGAATTCACTGAGTGCTGGGAGCAGATCCCAGCACAGATCCCTATGGAAAGAGGTGCTGAAATGGCACCGAGTCCTGCCAAAAGTGGGTACATCTGCTTCTGCACGAGGCACAGCTCAGTTTGTAGTCACTTCACTGGGAATGTGGGGTTGCAGTAAGAAATTGCTGGAGGAATGGATGATTTCCTGTGCAAGATACATCATCAGGCTGTGGATGTGGAATTTCACCTTTGAGAAGGATCTGGTGGGGAAGGGATTCACCTGTTTGTATGCCTGAATGTTAAAAAGGGCCAAACCCACTTTGTTCACAGCATAACACTTTCATTTTAGGAGTTCTTCCAAAAGCAGTGTGGTTGGTACTTAACTTTTCATCTCTCTCTGCATTGCCAGTATATGGAAAAACAATGTTAAGTAATGGAAACGAAGCAATTGAATAAATCTCACAATCATAAATCTGCACTGGGTTTAGATGATGAAGTGGGGATAATTACCTTAGCAATGGAACTGTTACTTGTTCTCTAGCAATGTTACTGTAATCAAACATATAATGTGGTATTAAGGAAACTGGGTCAGATCAAAAGGACCTGTAGCATAAAGCTGGTTCTTTCTGGTGGTAGCCTGTAGCTGCAGCTTAGGGAAGCGTAGAAGAAAAGGGAATGTTGTTCTGCTCCACATGCCATAGTCATGGATCCTTCCAGCAGCCTGCAGTTTGGGAGCCCTGAGCCACAGCCCCATGTTTGCTTCCATGGATTAATCCTGTGTCAACCCTGTTGTCTTTGGTGTCCAAGAGCTGTGCATTACACAGGGTATGTATTCACGCTGAGAAGAAAGCTAATGCTTGTTTCAAGGTGTTTGTGTGGTACCTGTCTCTTGTTCGTGCAGTGCTTCTGTATATCCAGTCTCATAGAATCATGGCATGGTTTTGGTTAGAAAGGACCTTAAGATCATCCAGTTCCAACCCCCTGCCATAGGCAGGGACACCTCACACCAGACCATGTCACCCAAGGCTCTGTCCAGCCTGGCCTTGAACACTGCCAGGGATGGAGCATTCACGTCTTCTCTGTGCAAGCTGTGCCAGTGCCTCAGCACCCTCACAGTAAAGAACTTCTTCCTTATATCTAACCTGAACTGCTCCTGTTTCAGTTTGAACCCGTCTCCCTGCAGTCCTTTCTTTTCCAGGCTGAGGAATCTGCTCACTTCCATCTCTCCTCATGTGCAAGCTGCTCCGTAAGTCCCATTTTCCCTGTTCTTTCCCTGTGTTACCCCCTTTCCATGATGATGTCCAAACCAGCAGAGTTCAGGATAGGAACGTGAGGTGTCATCCTGCTGCTTCCTCATGCTGTGTCTGTCCCCTTCCTAATTACTCTTGAAACAGGCTTTTCCAGTGCTCCTGTTATGAAGCCCTGTGAAAACTGCACTTTCAGGAAGCTATCTACAGTGACTCCAAGGTCTTTCCTAATCAGGAAAAACTAAATTGGAACCCATCATTTTCTATGTGGAGTCACCTATTTTTTGTCTCAACACAGAGCCTTGCATTAATGCACTTGAATTTCATGTTCCATTTTCTCTCTCTCACGCTGTATAATAACTAGCGGGAAGGAAAGGGCTGGGGATAACTACTTGATGCACTTCATGTTTTGTCTTTAATAGACCTCATACTGTATCCTTATTGTGAAGTTTAATGAGAGAGGTCTTAACTACAGACCTGTACAGCAGTTTACTGCTTTGTGTGTGTATAAACAGCTCTGTTCTCAGCATGTCCATGACCTGGTGATTAATAAGACCTTCCTCCTTCCTGCACTCCAGCTGAGTTTGCTTCAAGAGCTGTTGCTAACTTCCAGGGACTCCCAGTATGCCATTAATCAGAGCTGCTTCTGAGCCCTCCTGTGTGTGTCCTGCAGACTGCAGCCCATCACTTGGCATTCTGGCTTCCTTGCTAATCTGGCTGAATCTGTGTTCTGGGTAGTTTATCCCTGGTGGGCTTTGTCCCCTCTCCTTGTCCTCTCTGCAGGCTGGAAGGTCCTTAAATTGTTACGTACTGAATGGTGAATTTGTTTGGGTTTTCCTGTGGCAAAGAAAGGGGTTTTGAGGGTCTTTCCCCTCCCCATGGCTGTCCCTTGATGAATCTTGTACCTTTTTATCACCTATCAGCCCAGCAGACTTCCTGATAAGCTTCTGACTGTCAGTGTGTTTGATAAAGCTGTCTCCTGCACATCAGTCCTCAGTGTTCTGTGTTTTAGTGGTGGGTTGACCAGGTCCCACCAGAGCTGCTCTGTCACTGCCCTCCTGAGCTGGACAGGGGAGACAAGATACAACGAAAGGTTTGTGGATTGAGGTAAGGGCAGGGAGGGATCACTCAGCAATTGCTGTAATGGGCAAAACAGCCTCAGTTTGGGGAAATCTCTTCCATTTATTGCCTGTTGAATAAGAGTAGGGTAATAAATAAAACTAAAGCACCTTCCCCCCACCCCTCCAGTCTTCTGGGCTTAACTTGACTCCCAATTTCTCTACCTCCACCCCATGAGTGGTGCAGAGGGATGGGGAAATGGGGGTTGTGCTCAGCTTATCACACCTTGTCTCTGCTGCTCCTTCCTCCTCAGGGGATGGCTCCTTGTACTCTTCCCCTGCTTCTGTGTGGGCTCCTCTCTCCACAGGGCCACAGGTCCTCCCAGCAGCCTGATGCAGTGCAGGCTTCCCATGGGGACAGAGCCTCTTTTGGGCATCCCCCTGCTCTGGCAGGGGATCTCTGCTGTGGTGCCTGGAGCACCTTCTCCCTCCTCCTTCACTGACCATGGGGACTGCAGGGCTGTTGCTCTCACATGTTCTCACTCCTCTCCAGCTGCAGTTGCTGTTGTACAAACTCTTTCTCCTTCTTAAATACATTGTCCCTGCCACCATCACTGCTGGGCTCAGCTTTGGCCAGTGGTGGGTCCATCTTGGAGCTGCCGGTGTTGGATCTGTTGAACATGGGGGAATCTTCTAGCAGCCTCTCACAGCACCCCCCCAAAGCCCTGCCATGGAAAATCAAATACATTGAGTTTGCCGAGGTTTTTTTGTTTTCCTGTATCCCAGATATAAGGCAGAAGCTCTTCCCTGTGAGGGTGCTGAGGTGCTGGCACAGGGTGCCCAGAGAAGCTGTGGCTGCCCCATCCCTGGCAGTGTTCAAGGGCAGGTTGGACACAGGGGCTTGGAGCAAGCTGCTCTAGTGGAAGGTGTCCCTGCCTGTGGCAGGGGTTGGAACTGGGTGAGCTTTAAGGTCCCTTCCAACCCAAACCAGTCTGTGTTTCTGCGACTTCACTTTCTGAAGGACATCCTTTTGCATGCTTAATGTTTCGTTTTCTTTCTTTTTAAGTTATACTTTCCCTGTTCTTCCCTATGCAACACAAGGTCTTTAGCAAGCTGTCAGCCCCTGAAACCTTCATTCACCTTCTTGCCTGCTCTTTTTAGTTTCCTCTAGTGAAGCTTCCTTTTCTCTTAATCACAGAAAGCTTGAGGTTAGAAGGGCTCTACCAGAGGTCATCTTGGCCAACCCGCTGCTTAAGCAGGGATTCTTTAGCTGTGTAACTAAAAATAGAGAAAACTGGTGGTTCAAATAGAGAACTTGAGTGTGTTGTAGTTGCTCTCCAGCAGTGAAGATGGTGCACGCAGTTCAGGACTGGGTCAAGCCTTGCTTCTGTTGTGGGTGTTGAGAGCTGTTTGAAGAAGGGGTAATGAATGGTGTCTTAAAAATACAGTGTTTGCGTCACATTGCCAATGCTGAGAGCTTATCTGACCCCCTGAAATCCTGCAGTTGGGCCACCTTCATCTCAGAAGATGATGTTTGTGCATCTCCAGAGGTGATGTTTGTCACTTAGACCTGCCATGCATAGGGCCATGATGTTATTTTCTACTTGAGGCCGAACCTGGGAAGCCTCCCTGTCCTGTTGAACTTGGTTCTGTGTCCTTTCTTGCTGTGCTTTTCTTGGAAGGAGGGTTTGAGCTTTCTGAGCTTTCATGCGCTCTGAGATACTCAAATCACTCTGACATGGATCCTACCAGAGAATTTCTCCATATGGGATTGTGGCTCTCATCCAGCTGGAATGTTCTGCAGCAGCCAAAATGGCACCAGGCTGATGTTCAACTATGGATGCTGCCCTCAGCCAGTGGAAAGAGCGGTTTGGTTCACCCTTCTGTCAGCATCTCTGTGGTCAGAGGGCTTCCTGTCTGTGTTCCTCCAGGTTGGTAAGTGGGAATTGACACCCAGAATGCTTATAGAGCCCTAGCAGGCATTGGAAGCTGAGTGGATTGAAGCCCACTCTGGTGTTTCAATCTTGGGAACTGGTGTTTTCACTTGCAGGGAGTTGTCAGTCAATGGGGTGCTTAAGAAAGAGTGATGTGGATCACTGTGGCGTGGCGAAAAGCAAGGCGAAGGCTTGCAGTGCCTTTGTGGGTGAAATGAAGGGGGAGTTTTGTGACATAAAAGGGTAAAATGAGTGAGATTGAAAATGAAATATGAAGGAAATGGTGTTTGTGAGGAGCAGCTCGGTGTGGTTTGGGTGGTTGGCAGCTTTGCCTGGTTTTCCTTCCTCTCTTGAATCAGTGGAAAAATCCACAACCTTGAGATGTCATCAGGGCCTGCCTGCATTTCTTGCCATAGCGATCCCACAGCAAGGCCTCTGGGAGGTGTGGGGAATGTAGGAATGGTGATAGTTACTTCAGAGCTGGGGTTGTGTGGCTGAGGTGTGGGATGGCAGCAGTGCCCCTGGATCCATCAGTGGGATCCAGATCCCTTGGTGACCAGCCAAGCTCTGTGTAAGCTGTGGGATTTTGGAGTGCTTAACCTCTAAAAACCGCTTACTTCCTTTAAAGATGTAGAGAGACAAGTATTGCTAAGAAGCAGTTCTTCCACTAACATGGGGATAGCCATGACAAGATGGGATCAACAGCCTCGGCTGGCTTAGGAAGTGCCCGTCTCCACTCTGGTTGTCCAGAAGAGCTTAAATGAATGAGGAAACCCCCAACATCTTCACCAGAAGAAATGGAGTGAGATAAATCTGTCCTTAAAGATCAGGTTTCATTTGTGTGCTACCACGTTCTGATTGTCTGGTCAGTGGCAGTGTATCAATTGAGCTGGTTTGGGGGTTTTAAGATGAGTTGGTGTCAGTCTGGGGTTATTAATACCCTACCAGAGAAAAACCCCAAACCCCAACCCAATCAAACCCCAAATCTAACCCCTTTGGAGTGTATCTTTCAGCACGTTAGTTAGTGATTGTTCATCCAAGTGACTGATCTGACTGGCTGGAAATTTCGGGGTGCTTTACCCTCCACGTTATGGGAAGGCTCAGGCTCAGGTTTGTGTGTGGGTGAATGGACACTACCACAAAGTGCAAATACAGACTCAGAAGCAGCCTTTGGGCTGAGGTTAATGAACTTTTTCTGTTCCCTTTTGGCCTGTGCGTGGCTTCCTCTCCAGGAGTGCAGGCTGGTCTGAAAGCTGTGTAAATAGCAGTGTAGAGCTGGGGTTTAGTGTTGATAGATCTCAGTTTCTAGCAGGCTGGGAATGCTCTTGTGGCCACCAAATGATGCCAGAGCCAGGGCTGAATGTAGGTGTCTGCTTCCACAGAGATGTTCTCTGCTCTCTTGGGGAAAGCCCACCGTATCCTGGGCTGCATCCAAAGGAGAGTGACCAGCAGGTAGAAGGAGGTGATCCTGCCCCTCTGCTCTGCTCTCGTGAGACCTCACCTGGAGCATTGTGTGCAGTTCTGGTGTCCTCAACAGAAAAAGGACATGGAACTGTTGGAACAAGTCCAGAGGAGGCCACGAGGATGATCAGGGGACTGGAGCACCTCCTGTATGAAGACAGGCTGAGGAAGTTGGGGCTGTTCAGCCTGGAGAAGAGAAGGCTGCGTGGAGACCTCCGAGCAGCCTTCCAGTATCTGAAGGGGGCCTATAGGGATGGTGGGGAGGGACTCTTCATTAGGGACTGTAGTGACAGGACAAGGGGTAACGGGTTAAAACTGAAACAGGGGAAGTTTAGATTGGATACAAGGAGGAAATTCTTTCCTGTGAGGGTGGTGAGGCACTGGAATGGGTTGCCCAGGGAGGTTGTGAATGCTCCATCCCTGTTGGTGTTCAAGGCCAGATTGGACAAAGCCTTGGGTGAGATGGTTTAGTGTGAGGTGTCCCCGCCCGTGGCAGGGCGGGTTGGAACTGGGTGATCTTAAGGTCCTTTCCAGCCCTAACTATTCTATGATTCTAGGGGATTGAAGGATGGTGAGAGCACACTGTTTGTTCCCATAAAATAAGTAGAGATTGACTACAGACGCTAAGGAATGGGCTCAGGACAGTGAAGATGAGGGGTATTTTCATTACTGCCAGTTAATAATTAAGATAAATTAACACAAAGTGTCTGTGGTTTGGGGGAATACTCATTCAAGGAGTTGTAACTTGTAGTAACTATACAGCTGTATAGTCACTGTAGCAATTATAGTAACTTGGAGGTCAGATGTTGAGTGCTTCCCATGATTCCCAAGGAAACAACCTCATAGTCATTCCATAGGCAGAAATCTCCCTGACATCAATGCTCAGGATTTGTTGTTGTTACTGAGGCCTGGAAATAAAGAGGTTGACTCCATTGTGTGTCACATATGAGGGAGGACTGCTCAGCCCTCGCTGCAGTCAGGGTTGTGCTTGATGCCTTCACATTGTCTGTTTTTACCTTCGGGAGGGTCCTGAGCCTATTTCAGGGACGACGTTTCCAGTATCTTCTATTTTAGGCTCTTGACGCAGGGTTTGAAGCACTGTTGAGGTGTTGGCAGTGATGCAGTATGTGTTTTGTTTACAGTAACTCCTTCCCAGATTTGTAACACAAATACCATCTCTGCAGCGCTTCAGAGCTCTGGTCCCTCTGGACCTGAGGGTTTCATCTCACTTAACTTGCATTGTGAAAGGTTATACCCATCTAATCCAGATGGATAAGGATGAATGTCGTCTGGCTGGCTGATTTTTCAGAGAGCTTAAGGGAGTCTCTTAGTGGCTTGAGTAGTTTCAAGCTAGTTTCAAGGAGGTGATCCTGCCCCTTTACTCTGCTCTCATGAGACCTCACCTGGAGCATTGTGTGCAGTTCTGGTGTCCTCAACATAAAAAGGACATGGAACTGTTGGAACAAGGCCAGAGGAAGCCACGGGGATGATCAGGGGCTGGAGCACCTCCTGTATGAAGACAGGCTGAGAAAGTTGGGGCTGTTCAGCCTGGAGAAGAGAAGGCTGCATGGAGACCTCCGAGCAGCCTTCCAGTATCTGAAGGGGCCTATAGGGATGGTGGGGAGGGACTCTTCATTAGGGACTGCAGTGACAGGACAAGGGGTAACGGGTTAAAACTTAAACAGGGGAAGTTTAGATTGGATATAAGGAAGAAATTCTTTCCTGTGAGGGTGGTGAGGCACTGGAATGGGTTGCCCAGGGAGGTTGTGAATGCTCCATCCCTGGCAGTGTTCAAGACCAGGTTGGACAGAGCCTTGGGTGAGATGGTTTAGTGTGAGGTGTCCCTGCCCATGGCAGGGGGGTTGGAAGTGGATGATCTTAAGGTCCTTTCCAACCCAAACTATTCTGTGATTCTATAAACAGCAAGTAGTAAGATCTACTCTTCCTTTTCTCATCGTTGTTCTACGTGGAGAACTTCAGCTTCCTTCGTAGTTGTTATTTCTTGATGTTCTGCCATGAAAAGCAGTCTAAAGATAATTGTGCAAAAGCAACTTTGTGCTCAATGTGGAGGGGTATTTGTGTTGGTAGGAGAGGATTAACATCCTAAAGTCTTAGGTGGAATTCACTCGAAAAAGAGCTTGCTTTGGTACATGAGCATTTTTGTACAATGATGCTGCTTCTCTTCCTTGAAGATCTTCCAACTTCAAAAAATACACCCTGCCATATGTTACTGTAATAGCAGCACATGAACTGTATTGAAAGATAAATGAACAGGACTGCAATTGGAGGTTTTAATTCTGCAGAGGGGTCCATTTTGGATCCATTTTTTACTCTACAGAAGATCTAAACTTAGTTTTACCACATGCCCATGCAAAACATTTTGAGGCTGAGCTCAGGATGAAGAGGATGAGAAGGAAGGAAAAGGAACTCCTGCAGTACCAGTGCTTGGGAAGGTATTTGGTGAGTAGACAATGAAACTGCTATTGCAGAAAACAGTGCTCTGGGGTTTAAAGGCTGCATATGGCAGACTGAGGGAGCTGGGCTGGTTCAGCCTGGAGAAGAGAAGGCTCCTGAAGGGGAGACCTTAGAGCAGCTCCAGTGCCTAAAGGGGCTGCAGGAAAGCTGGAGAAGGGCTTTGGACAAGGGCCTGTAGGGCCAGGCCAAGGGGAATGGCTTTAACCTGCCAGAGGGGAGACTAAGATGAGCTCTTAGGCAGAAGCTCTTCCCTGTGAGGGTGCTGAGGCGCTGGCCCAGGGTGCCCAGAGAAGCTGTGGCTGCCCCATCCCTGGCAGTGTTCAAGGGCAGGTTGGACACAGGGGCTTGGAGCAAGCTGCTCTAGTGGAAGGTGTCCCTGCCCGTGGCAGGGGCTGGAACTGGATGAGCTTTAAGGTCCCTTCCAACCCAAACTAGTCTGGGATTCTACATGTGCCATCCAGTCCTCTGCCGGGTTCACCTTTTTCTTTATGGCAGATTTGCCTTTCCCTGGTCATTTACCCTTTTTGTTAGGTCATAATTTGCTGTTCAGTTGTTGATGCTCAACCTGGGAACAAGCTGTGCCTGTACTGTTAAAGGAAACAACGTTTAGTGGGTTTGAAGTGTCCTGTGGCCATCCACACTCTCAGTTTTCAGCACACTCATGACACTGCTTGGCCAGCTGATCTGAGCTACATCTACTTTTGAGGACAGGAGGAGGCTGCATTTGATCCTGACAGGGATGTGTGGATCCAGGTTACACGGTGGCACTTGTCCTCAGTGCCAGAAATACATACAGGTATAGACAGAGGGGTAGCACAATGAGTTGGTGCCCAGTGCTTCGTCTATAACAATAGTCATAACATAATATATCTACATTATATAGTATATAATATACTATATTATGTGTGTCTATAATGTAGTCATCAGGCAAATCATTCTGAGCAGCACAAGAAACTTTGATACAGCATTGGACATCCAGCTTCTCTTACAGCTTTTAGATTGTAGCCATTGGTTCAGTTGTCTTCTGCTCTTGATATACAGTAACTTTAAGACACAAATATTTAATGTTAGGGGGGGATTTGGACTTTTGAGTGTTTGTGTTACTCCTTTAAAATGTGTTGGTGTATTTGGACAAAGCCTGTGGACCATTTAACCATCCTCTTAATTGTGACCAGGTAGTGAAGATGCCCTTTGTGTGTTTGATGTAGGCATTTGCTAAGAAAAAGCAGTAAGTCTCCCACTGAAAGTCATTTTGGACCAGAGTCATAATGAAGTCGAAGCAATAACTTGCCAAAGCTGTGTTTTGCTGTCATTCGTGGAGAAGAGCTCCTGCAGGATTTAATCTGTTCACTGATCTGACGGTGCTTTCTGCAGCGATCCTGGAAGGACACGTCAGTTTAACTCGTGTGTTTCATTAAAGCCATACATACTTATTGTAGTGCTCACATCAGGTGCTGGTAATATTGAAAAGGTTGGAAAACTGTGCTGCCAAACCGTCCTTTTTGGTCTTCTCTTGTTTGTCTTTTCTCGAAGACCTGATGGGAGTGCAGGAACCTGTCAATATTCCTGACCAAGGGTTTGGGCACAGTTAAGCCAGTAGTTTTCCAGTCACAGAATCATGGAATGGTTTGTGTTGGAAGGGACCTTAAGGTCATCCAGTTCCAAACCCCTGCTGTGGACTGGGACACCTCACACTAGACCATGTCGTCCAAGGCTCTGTCCAGCCTGGCCTTGAACACTGCCAGGGATGGAGCATTTACCACTTCTCTGGGCACCCTGTGCCAGTGCCTCAGCACCCTCACAGTAAGGAGCTTCTGCCTTGATAATTAATGACACTGTTTATAAATAACATTTAGAGATCTTTTT